GTTGTTTCCAAACTACTGAAGCCGTAATTAAACAGTGTCTGGGCAGACTGCGCGGACAGGCGGCCTCTGCACACTCGTGGCATTATGACGAGTAGTAGACGCACAATATTTACGCGTTGGAGCGAGACGTACGGCCGTGGCCGCGGGGTTTCATCGCGTTGGGAGCTCGTTTTTCGCCACGCGTGTTTAGCTCATGCCTAAGTTTTAACCCCCCATAGTTGTAGTTTTAATCCACATTCTAATGGCCGCATCTAACGGCCGTACGCTGCCGTTTATGTTTTGAGCAGTTTCTAGTGTTTGTTTGTACTTGTGAGTCTTAAACAGATTGGTACGACTTGTCTAAATCAACATTTTGTAATGTACATACCTACCGGCCCAGTTCAGTTCGCTAATGCAGGTGAACTTTCTTCATTCTGTTTCTGAAAACACTGTTTACACTTGAGCGCAGCGTGCTCAAGTCAATATATGTCAAGTTAATTAAAACAGTTATGGAAGAGCTATATTGCAAAATAGAAATATCACATAAGCAGGCCCAATAGTTCAGAAAAACTGCTGGGAGCCTATTGTGAATATGCATGTTGCCTGTGTGAAGCCATCCACATGAAGACAGCAAGAGTGACTTACAGCGATAGTTTAATGGGGAAGCGTAGAAATAATGAAGTGAGTCGGTGACTACAAAAAATAAAAACAAACTTTTGCAAAACAAAAGGAACCCGATGACATTATTCACAGGATTTTTACTTTCTCTGTTCATTAGTACTTGCTTACTTATAATAAAACACCTGATCCTTTCTGAAGCACGCAACCATATAGTTAACATTGTAAAGTTTGAAATTACTAATGCTTTCTTATTTGTGTGCATTGAATTTTCTACGCCCTCCTGCGGTGCCCTCAGGCCTTGGAGGTAATATAATAAAAAAAAGATCTGACATAAACAAACATACTCTTGCAGAAATTTATTGAAAACTAAAGTCATCCTTAACCGTCATTCAGTTTTCTTTTGCACCATCTGCCTGTGATCAACCTTTTTTCTATTCGTCAGTGTAGTGAGCTGCTCAGTACCGTCACAGTGATACAGTTGGGAGCCACGCACATGTTGTCGAATCTGGTTTTTGTTTTGCTCTGCAACTACGGCTGCATCTCCCGGATCTTGCTTCAAATAATACCCATGGTCACCTGCAAGTTAGACACTTGCAGTATTTTAAAGAATGACTGCTGCACAAGGTCCGCAAAACTGCGGCAGGCACCACGAACTGACACTGCAATGTTAAGTAAATAGCAGTTTATTTTGAAACAGGACATACTCGGTGATTGAACAACTGCTTCACGTTTTTGCGCCGCTCTCGCTGCACGTAAAAAAAAACAACAAACGACTGGGGCGTATTATGAACACTTGATAGTTTAGACTCGCAATTACTAACGATATGCATCGATCGTGTAGGCAAGACTGTTGGTATCCTCGAAATTGCTCAAAACATGAACGGTGACATACGGCCGTGCCTGCAACAGCGTAATAAGCTGACTGGATTTAAGCTTGACATGAGTTTAAGAGCCATGACGAACATGCTGCGGAATCTATGGGAAAAAGCGGCCCCTGTTTCTAGCGTCGCTGCGGCAAACAAACATGTCTTATGTGCAGCCCGTCTACGCAAATTGCCCAAGACTGTTTACTTATGATATGAGTAGTTTGGAAACAACCCAAAAGCAATCCGATTCACAAAGCACACCACACACACAGCTGCCCTCAGTACCGGCGCTACCAGCGAGTCCGCGGCAGCCTTGGCTGGTGGCGTGGCCGCCGAAAAAAACAGCGAAAATTCTAAACGAACGCGGGAATAACGTTCGTGGTAGCCGCTCCCAGTGAGCGCCGTAGCAGACGACATGGGCGTCACCCTTCTCTCTCGCGCGTTCTCTGGCATACGGTTGTCAAACACGCAACCCGGTAAGCCCGGTATGCTATATAATCGTTCTGTCAAGACTGCTTGCAAGATTGCGAACGCTCAAGATTAGACAGTTATAGTTTAGCGTTATCGTGATAGCGTAGGTTAAGGGAATGGCGTTACCGTGTAGCAAACGTTCGTTGTGGGCAGCCTCTTATAGTTTAGCGGGATGGCATTTACGTGGTTTACGTGCCCCAGCTGGGATGGTGGCGCCAACTATTAGGTGGGTAATAAGTTTAACAGGGAAAATGAAAAGAAAACGAGAATGTTTGCCTATGCCACCACGCGAAGCATTGTTAGAAGTTTATTTTAGTGATAATAAAAGTGAACAAATATGAACCATGCACCAAACGCGAAAACATCTATACATTGCCGATTTCTTTACATCGATCTTGTGGTTAGGCCTAGGCGCGTTCGAAATGGGAAGCTATCTCCAAAACTACGCCAAATTATTCGTAATACTCGGTCATCGAAGCTAACTGAAGGCAAGCGAAGCTCCTTTGAACAGTCGTTCGCGGCGGACAAGGTGAATCTTTCAACAACTATGCCAAAATCACTTCGAAGCGGGTTTCCGAAACTGCCGCCATGCTTACGTACAATACGTACACCTACACTACCACGGTAACGTAAAATCAGAAAAATACCACAAGTACGGGAAGTGGTACGGGTGACGTACGTATCTGCGCATGTGCACTTCGATTCCGGTATAACGGTACACCCGTTATCCCGGTAAGCCCGGTATACTATAACTCTCTATTAAAGACCAAAGACAGGACTGGAATATTGGACGCAGCATGCATAATTGCCACCGTGCTTCACCGCTTGTTAGTAGATCGACAGCCGACGCTCTGTTCGCCGCTATCAGTGCCAGTCTTTTGCTGGAATCTGTCTTTCCTTTTGTGTGGTCACAAGTTCGTCCCCAATGAAGTTTCATGTTCGACTTGCAGTCTGTCCTTTTTGTCCACGTCAGAGCCCCTCACATTATCAAGTTCGAAAAGGTTTATTTACTAAGTCTGTGAAGTAGGCACTAGGAACAGGATAGCGTTATTGTGCTCAACTCGTAAAGGCGAATCTTGAGGGTCGCCTAATTATCGCTCTTGTCCGTCACTTCCTTTGTTTTGGGGTCGCTCGGCGAGCGCTTACCTTACGTTGCCCCTTCCAAACTATTGACCGAAGACCGGTGGGGTGGCTTCGCGCGTGGTCAAACTGCGCTGAGCAGAACTTACTGAAAGCGGACGCGCATGGAGTTAGCCCTGCCTTGTGGTAACTGGTCGTGAGAGTACACAGTATGGTCGCCACGGACCGTTTCTCTCATCTCAGTGAGCCTTTTTGCCATGAAGACGTGCTAGCGGCGCCATTCGCTGTGTATTTCGCCGCGTTTGGGTGGGGGAATGATGCGTTTTGTGGGCTTGCTACAGGTAATAAATTGCTTCGGAATTCTGAGAGGAGTACTGTGTACATGCTGCGCTGCGCTCACCGCCTTCGGTGCCCGAGCACGCCTGCAGAGTGGCATGCGAGGTGACGGCAAACGCGGTCCTGACGCTTCCTAAGTCTGAACCCCCGCTTGTGACCGTACTCCTGTAAGATACGTGCACTGTACATGGGCTAACACACTTCCTTTAACAAAAACGGTAAGTAGGGCTCCGAGATCTTTGTGAATACGAGATATCTCGGAGGCGATACTTTACGTTTTCCATGTAGCCATTGGCAGTTATGTTATGCACACATAAATATCTGATCATATAATATTTTTATACTGAAGTAAACATCGGCGAATGCCTCAAGACCATAACACTAAATCATGCCATTCTTGACGAGTATGTAATAATAGTAATGTTTACGAATAAATGGCATGAATGCCACCTTATTATTACCTTCATTATTACCTTATTATTACCTTCAGGTGACGTATGCCATTATTACCTTCAGGTGACGTATGCCAGGTGGCATCCTTTATGTTTTCTGCCACAAAATAATTATTGGTCACTATATTAAAGAAACCAAATTAATGTCATAGACAGTAATAAATCTGCATTGGTAAAAGTTGATGCGAATAAAATAACCTCTCCAACCAGTATTAGTTCAATGTTTCTAATAAAAACACGAAGCTGATATGAAGTTTCATGACCAATTCGGTGCATGGAGTGACTGTCGAGCCGGCTCTTACGCTAGGGACATTTCGTAGTGATGTTCTCCTCTCTGCCAGTCGTTTTCACACCGTTCTTGCTCCTGTAGTGCTTTCTTCACTAGTTCCGCAGACCGTGCACTTGGCAAAGTCGCAGTTGAGCGGTTTACATTTACAGAAGTGGTTTTGATATTGAAGGGCATTAGGGACTACTTTTTTTGTGTGGCTGTCTTTCTTATCGATGACTGCACTAAGAAAAATCGCTAGCTTTGGAGCCAGCCGGACAGTCACCCCAAAAGAAAAGAAAATGTCCAGCAACGTTGAGTCAGTTTTACTTTTTTGATTTTAACAACGGAATCTTTGAACTAAATTAGCTGGACAGTTTATTTTATTCGTACTCATACATTTGTACTGTAGTTCGCCGACGAAGTTACATAATACTAGATTTTAAAACTATAGTCTTAACATTAGAAAATGTGAAGCCATCAAAATTAATCAGGGAGCAAGCAGGGGTTGCATGTGTTCTAGTTCATTCATGGAGAACTGATGAAATTAATCTGGGCGGGATATGCTACGCGCATGAAAAATAAGCAATGGTAAGCCTTTGCGGCAGCATAGTTATCAAGACGACCCAAGGCAGTGTATGTGGCTGATCTCGTTGAGTGGCTAAATAAAGTTCGCAGCGATGAATTGGAAGCATCTGGTACAGCTGTCACAGAAATGGGGGTTGTTGAAAAGGCTTACGTGCTGCAATATATGAATAATCAGCTGTTAATAAGATGCGTCCTAAAGCATCAAACCATGCTCTAACTTTAGCATTCGAACTTGCGTCTGCAGTATGGCAATCCTCGGTAACGGTCTTTGACTTTGTCTCAAACTCTGTTGTATTTACTCATTAATGTGAAGAAATCAAGCTGTACTTGTCTTTCTTACAGCCTGCATCTATGGCAGCGATTGGCATGTGGCCAGCGCCGTGGTGTCTAGTCCCTACCGTGCCTTCTCCGCTGACCGCATTTCCGCCCGGGTAGGCGTTCACATAGGACTTAACAGCGTCAACATCACATTGTTTGGTGAGTTGGTAGATTTTGCTTATAAGAATGAAAAATTTCGCTCGCTGAACGTCAATACAAATGGCATATACAATGACCATACAAGTGTACACTAGTTTCGGGATTTTTACCCGAGCTTGCTACCACATGCCCTTGTGTGAGCTACTCATCAGGCGTACAGACTGAAAAAATTATTTAAGTGACTAATGGTAAGGTGAGGAAGCATGTGGTATTTTGAAAGTTAGCACACGTTCCATAAATATAGAAAGAACTATGATTTCGTCTCATGTAAAATATTTTGCCCGGTGAGGGGGCAAAGCAGTGCGATCATTCGGTGTTACCGTAAATCACCCATGGCATTGATTCTCACGCGTGTAAACGAGTGCCAAGCGGTGTGCCGTTATATAAACTGTTTATTGGTCATAACTGGTATGTTGCGCTGATCTGTGAATTCGATTTAGCCTTCAATATTACTGCCTCGTGGTATCAGATCTAGCCTGCAGTTGACAAAGGCGAGGTCTGTAAACGTTACCCTGGTGGTCGCTGGTTGTTTCAAGTTACGGGAAATGCATAATGAAGGATATTAAACGTTCTATGTTGCACAAGCCAGTCACTGTTCATGAGCATAGTCGACATCATCTGTATCGTCCTTAGCGTCATCATAATTGTCGTGGCATATAGTGGGTACCTTGCGTGTGGTGGGTTGTGATGGCAGAAAGAGAATGTGTGGTCTAGAACCCCCTTGTTCTTCATCATCGATAGCGTCATCGCCATGACGTATAGTGGGGTACATTGCATGTGCTGCTCTGTGAAGGCAGAAAGTGAACTTGTCGTCTGGAACGTTCTTGTTCTTCGTCGTCATCAACGTGATGGTGAGCGGTGGCTGTTGCCCACAACGCCAATGGAGGAGGCTCGACCATAAGGAAAGAAGCGTCAAAAAAATTCATAAACCGGCGCGAGCAATTTTTTTTTTCTGAAAACCAAATCTTTCACCGTGCTGGGGTAGCGGTTACTGTGCTCGGCTGTTGAACCGAAGGTCGTAGGTTGAATCCCAGCCGTGACAGTCGCGTTTCGATGGAGAGAAAATGGTACAGACCCGTGATGTGTTCTCATTAAAGAACACAGCTTTGTTGAAATTTTTGGAGGCCTTTACTACGGCGTTCCTCTTAATCATATGGAGGTTCTAGGACGTGAAACGCCATACAAATGTCTTGAAGCTTCTGGAACAATGCAGGCGTAGCTCACGCTTTGCATTTCTTTAAGTCCTTGCAGGCAAAAACTGAATACAGCATAACTGAAATAGACACCACGCGTTGCAATATTTTCATTCGTGGGCATTTTGAGCTGGGCCGCTGGCCAACATGAGGCTGTTGATACAGTGAGCAGTGCTTTTGTAAGTGTGAAGCACTTTAGAGGCCGCGCTCTCGTCACCGCTTGGAGCAGAATTTCATGTGTGGCACACCACTTCATGGTGAGGTCTTCTTTCTGGTGTTTTCGGAGTGCATTTGTGGTGATAACCTACCAATACAGGCAAACAAAAAGCAACTCTTGTGCTTGGCTCAACCGCAGACCAAACATGGCATAAAGATTTCAAAAACAGAAGCGCGGAAAAGAGCGAGAGCGAAAGAAAATTTAATACAAATAAAAATAGGACCATCAAGAAAGAAAAAACAATAGACGAGAAAATAAAATAGAATGAAGAGAGCTATGTCATACAGAAAATAGGGAAAGAGAGGAGGAATGGAAAAGAAAACCGAAGAGAAACAAACAATGCTCTGTGCACACTTCCTCCAGAATTAGTGCCCCTAGTCGAAGCTGCCTTTATTTTTTTTTCATGCACGTAGATTGCTTTGTGCATTGCTGGTTCCTCTAATGCCGTCATGCTGAGCCTGTCGTTGTAGCAAACAATTAGAAGAATGCGCTCGCCATTGAAAACTGTTTCTTTACTAATTAAGTAGCGTACTTGAATCTATTATTCTTGCTTTCTAGTGATAATGAGGCACATCGTGGGCCCTGGTGTGAAAGTTGCTCAGGCGTTAACATGCAAGCAAACGAAATGATCGACAAGCTGAACACTTTCCAGGCAAAACTAACAAAACATGAAACTATGATATCGGAAAGAATGAATAAGTTGGGTGGAACTGATGGACAGATTGAAATTCTTAACGAAGACATTAGAACAACACAACGATGTGGTCGAACATCTTTGAAAGAAATGTTAAGAAATGCAAAAAGTAATGTTGCCCTTTCATGAAGAAGCCGAGGGACCAGCTTGTTGAAGATGACAATGCAGAGCCGTAAGATCAGGGTCACGAACCTATTAGCAATATCCGTCAAACTTGGCTCACCATGCAGCTGACGTCCTGCGCATCGGTCGATTGAACAGCCGACCAACAATCGTTACTTACACTCTGAGCAAAAAAATCACAGCATACCCACGGAGTGAATGCTGATGAATGGGCAAAGCGCTCAAGGGTTTCATCACTAAACTGTCAACCATCCGCGAATATCGCCCACTACATCCTCAAAGACGTGATAGACACTGTATATAATTATACAAGAAATTTTATTATTGGTAAGTGGTAGGTATACGTCGCTTCCATTCCCCCTACCTTAAAACCGCTTTATGGTTGGTGAAATGATGGATCGGGGATGCAGCGTATCGAAATGTTTGCGAAGACGAAGTAGTGGCAGTTTGCAAAGGTGCAAGTATAGGCTGTCGCGTAGAAACAAAGGATGGACACAGGCGGATAATGTATGGCTATTTGATGCGCACATGGATACAAGTACACGACTTTACGCGTTTTATTTTAGCTACTTTTCAACCGTATTGACTTTATGGTCACTGAGGTGGCGGATCAGTGATGAGGTGTAGTGAGAATGTTTGCAAGGTGGCTACATACATTAACGGGGGAAAGACAGACCAACATCCTAAAGAGCTTTGCCCCTAAAATAAGCCGAGAAAATTGAGGGGAATATCTATTTACATTCATCAGGGAACTTTTTCAGTAAAATATGGCAGTATATTTTTACATCCAATGAAGAAAATATGTGTCCGCAGCCGTACCATACGCAAGCTTGTGAACGGTAAAATCACACGGAAAAGGAGGACACGAAGAAGACACACACACACACACACACACACACACACACACACACACACACACACACACACACACACACACACACACACACACACACACACACACACACACACACACACACACACGCTTACACATAGCGCTACTTTCAACATTTTTATTTTGCTATTTCAAGGCTACACAAAGGGCCAAGAAACAATAATCATGCGCGCATCTGTTGTTCAGTAGAACACGAAATTAATTTTTTTGGCGTCCGTTTTGGTGCCTATTAATGAACTTGTTTTACTGTGCTACAGACGTGCGCATACTTATTCTTGACCCTAGAAGTAGCCTTGCAATCGCAATAGAAAATGTTGAATGTAGCGCTGTGTGTGTGTGTGTGTGTGTGTGTGTGTGCGTGCGTGTGTGTGCCTTCTTTGTGTCCTCACTTTTCAGTGCGCTTTTGCCGTTCTTATACATGAATACCAACGTGCCCAGATGCCCATTTTGGTCATTGGTGAACACTATGCGCAAGTGTATGTTCATTTAATTAGCTTCGAAGCATACAACATTGTTTACACGTGCAAAAACATGCCCATGACGCTCGCATAAAATCACAACACTCGCACTGAACACAGCTCGCCGCTCGCGTATTTTTATTCCGCACAACCACAATTCAGTCGCCGGTTTATATATAGGCACCGTGTGTCTGGTGGGACCCCTCTTTTACAAGTAATTCAGTCAAAACTCAAGACCTTGGTATAAAATTGCGGTGGCGTGGTGGATGCCCAAAACACATATATTTCACTTTTAACCTACCTATTGTTCAGTGGCCTTTAACTAGCGAAACATAATTATACACTGGTTCTATGTCGCATGGTCTGATTTTGCATTAGCAGTACTATGTGCGAGTTCGTAACTGGAACTGATTTGTGCTCAAGGCACGAGGGGCCATGAATAAACCCTTCAACGACATGCATTCAGCAGCACCGGCAAATAACCGAGGAAAACTACCGCTAGGCATTCTACCACTGAGCCTCTCCCAGGAATCCTCATGGCATTTGGCCTCAGATGGCTGGATGCTATGGGCGTCCCCTTTATAATGACGTGGTGACATGTATGCCACCGGACTCGGGAGAAAAAAATGAAAACTTCATTTTCACGTTGCCCTAATGCCTTATCCACTTCGAATAAATTTCTCTTTTATATACCTACATGGTGACGTACAAGTCCGGACGCCTACATCAGGATGCAGACTGCCTGTCCCGCTACCCAGATGGTGAGTCAAGCACTATGCCTGACACCGACAGCGAGCCTTGCGTCTTTTCTATTTCGCAAATGACATTCATCGGTGACGAGCAGCGGCATGATGCGTCCTTGCGTGCTATCATTGAGCGCCTCGAATCCCCATCTTCCAATCAGTCCCATCGCTCATTCGTGCTCCACGATGGTGTGTTATACCACCAAAGTTTTGATCCGGATGGACCGGCCCTGCTGCTTGTCATTCCGAAACTCCTACTTTCGGAAGTTGTAAATGAACTTCATGACCTTCCGAAGGCCAGTCACCTTGGTGTGTCACGCACTTACGACCGAGTACGCCGATGCTTCTTCTGGCCAGGGCTTGCACGCTCAGTCAGAAGATACGTGGCGGCTTGTGAGAAATTTCAGCGCTGCAAAACGCCATCGACACTTCCCGCCGGACGCCTTCAACCACTTGACATTCCGTCAGAACTATTCTTCCGCGTTGGCTTGGACCTACATGGCCCTTTCCCCTTGTCTTCCTCGGGTAACAAAAGAATAGCTGTGGCCACCGACTACGCCACGCGTTATGCCATCACACGAGCACTTCCAACAAGCTGTGCCACAGACGTCGCCGACTTCCTCCTCAAGGACGCTATTTTTCAACACGGAGCCCCACGGAAGCTGCTTACAGACCGTGGC